CCTTCGCTCTTTCTTTCGCGGCCTCGCTCATCGCCCGGAGAATAACATTCGCACTTTACGATTATGCTTGCCTACTTTTTTTTCAAGGAGGCTGGGCTCTGCCGGCAGATTGACGATCGGCTGTTCCACGCACACAGACCGCGATTAACGTCGACAACGACCACTATGGGACGCACGCTGAACGCCCGGCGAGTTCCGTATAAATCGAGAATTAAATAGGCAAGCTTCTCAAGATCTGCATAATCTCGCGACAGCGTGTTAATCCTGGACGAGAGAGATTTTCTAAAACCCGGTATTATTCGCCGCATAGATGCTCCTCGTAACTCCTTTCATTGTGCCCGCGCGCGATTGTACGCGTTTGAAATTGTTTCGATAAAAATTATAAGTAAATGTTATGCAAATTATGAATAAACAGAAATATAATGTAACGTAATACTTCGCATATAATAATTAGCATTAAGCAGAATGAAAATAACACTTTTATATGCAACGACATATAAAAGAATAAATTTTCAACGCGCAAGAAACGTAAACATCGCAACAACAGTGCGGCACGATGTTATTTCTACTGAGATTCATATTTTGCCTGATATTTTTGAAACGCCACTTGTGTCACTTTAACGACCATGCGGTGACCGGATGTCGTAATGACGTACCGACAAAAGCGCGCGCGCGCGCGCGCGTGTTTCAACTTCTTTTTTTCTCTTTTCACCCAGCATAAGCTGGCTCGCTCGCCTCTGTAGTTCTACTCGCAGCGCATATTCTTAATGCATTCATCGCGTATTTTCAATTTGTTGTTATTCTGATTCACTGACTGCAAATAATCGAGATTTTCAAATGTACGAGCGCGCATTCCGTGCCATCGAGGCGCGATATTCTTAAAGCATTTGTCGTTGCCAAAAATTTGAGTTATCGGTAATAATGCGCGACGACGACTGTCGCGCGCGTCTCCGAACGCAAAAACGACCGTTTTGTCCGACACAAAAAGCGTCGCGATAAAAATCACATGGTATAATTTTGTATTTCGCAAAGCATATACATAGTCGCGCGCTCTGTCGCATTTCTCCAGTATGCTTGTTTTCTTTTTCAAAGACGTGATGGACGAACGGATTATTTCTACGTATCTGCTTCTCTCTTTCCTCGATTTCTCGTCTCCTCTTCCCAAGTGACTTTAATAATCACATCGCGGTGGAAGAAGAGACACTTAAATTATGAGTAACAAATGCCGGGGAAAATATCATTTTTCGCTCAAATTTATACGGGTGTACCGAGATAACTTTGTGATGCCATCGCGCCCCGTTTGTTCCAAATTTAACGACCCGCATTTTTTCGCCGAAGAAACGAGAGAACGAAATTAGCGGAAGCGGCAGAATACGCAGGCGCGTAATCGCGTATCATCATTGTACTATTTGCACAAAGGAGCGATAAGATTAAACGACGCTCTTTCCCACCGTCGAAAATCATAAGCTAAACTGTGCAACATTTTATCGTCGCCTTGGAAGATACGCTGATACAAGTTTATTGACAAGTGCAAAGATGGAACGATGATACCGGCATACTCTTGACTTCGCGCTATTTACTTAACGTTCCGCTGTTAGTAGTGGCATGTCAATATCGTAATGCGACATCCGTATTCGGGAACAGAAACCGACGTTCGAGAAAACTGCGAATTCGCATTACGTCATTCTATATCACAATTTTCACGAAACTAAGAAGAACGAAAATAATCTCGATATTATGACATTCGTAAATATTACGAAACCAGATATTTTTTAAAGATGTCGTGTAATGCGAACAATCAAATTCCGACGAAATCGTCTTGCGCGCGCGCGCAATTGAATGGAGATTGTCGACAATTTTTTTAGTTTCCGCAAAATGACGGCCATTCGGTGAAAATCCATCAGGGATCGTCCAATAAATCGAACTGCGCCCGCGAATTTCGCGTTGTCGCAATGGACGGTAATCCAATTCCGTTTACGCAATTTCGCGCGTTTGCGAGCGACGGAGCGATCGACAACTCAACGGGTGTCCCGATCGTTCCCGCCATTTTCCCGGCAGCACCGTACAAATTGTCGCGCGAGAATCGTAACTCGTTCACCACCTACGAGAGATCGTCGAGAACGGTTCCCTCGCCGAACCGGCCGCCGCATGGCGATCGCAATCTTCCACGGCTCGCACGGTCCCGCGGCGATTCGCCACGCTTGTAAATTGATCGCGGCTATACACGCCGTGGCTGAAAGTGATCTGCTCGTTAAGTACAGCGAGGACTACGGGAAAGACAGCGCCTGGAAAGTGAGACGACGACGGCGAGATCGCGATCGAGAAAATAACGATACCACCGACGTACGCGCGATTAATGGCGAAAGTCGCGAGCGCGCGGCCGGGAAGAAGTTTTGCTCTCGCCGCATTTTTTGCCCCGAGTCGATCTTACGCGAGCGAGGACGGAACTGGGAACGTTGCGTAAGTTCACAGTAGCTCACTTCCGCTATGTCGTGTTCGGTATCAACAGAGATTGGGAAAGCGAATTGCAAAGTAAAAGTTCGTTTTTCATGACATATCGAGTAATATACATCGTGTAATATAATGTCCGGCTATTACCGCAGTTATTACTGATGGATTTTATGCGGTAGATTTTTCATTTGCAAAACTTTTATGAGGGCATCATTCGTAACAGCTTATTAACTCCCATCATTAAATATCTTCGTTATTATTAAAAGCAAAATTAAATGTCTTTTAAAATAAAGTCCGTTTAAAACCAACTACTAACACACTGACTTTATATATAGCGACCATTTATTCCTTTGAAGTTTAATTTAATTTTTACCAGATTATTTCAATTCCCAATCTTATTTTCTCTATAGTTACTCTATAATTAAATCTTTTATTGAATCCTAAATAAAGATCTATTATAAATTTCGTTAAAAACGCTGTTATTAAAATATCGAAACGATAGTAATGATAAAATATGGCGCGTATAACTAATAATTAGCAATTATTAATTGCAGCTCTATCGCTACCTAAGAGATACATTAAATTCATAATTAAACACTGATATATTTCTACATACCCAATCGATTCCATTTCTCACGATAGATAAAAGGACCTGAATGTTCGACACGCGACAAGAAACGAGGAATATCCAATCCACAAAGTCACACCTCACTAAACAGTACTTCCGCTTAGATCACGCTAACTCCTGAAAACTACAACGCCCGACAATCATTACCGTCCGTCCGTGTAATCGGCGCGCGAATTCGTTCGCGGTCAAATTTTTCGCGCGTCCGCTTTTCACAAACGCCACCCCGTATATCGCCTGGGAAAATAAATCTTGTGGACACTCACCGGGAGGGAGACTGGACACTGGAGGCTGTCACCGAACACGGGTTGCAGCGACTGCAACAGATCGCGTGCGTGAAAGAGAGGACGGCTATCAATGGCTGCATTATACAATACTCGGTGGTGATATATACGCCAATACGCGTTCGCCGGCGCGGTGCGTGCGTATGAGTGAGGCGCGCTCGCGCGAGCACACTTCGCGGTGCTGTATACGCGTATACACCGATGCATGTAAAGACCGGGTATGCGTGTACACACATACGTAGATATAGATACCACAACTGAACGGGTCCACGCCGAGCGGGGCGCACTGTGCACCGCGCGCGGCAGGTATTGCCGTCAGGAGAGGCTCTCCGGCGCGCATAACCCGTTCGCGCGCGGGCGAGAGACGGACGGACGAAAACGTTCGCGAACGACGAAGGGAGACAGTGTGTGCGCGCCTGTGCTCCACCCTGTTCTCGGGTTTACTTTTCGACGAGCATTTTGCCGATTAGATATCGCTCTTTTGCAAACACTGTGCTGCGAGCACGTTCGATTATTGTACGACATCCTCGTTTCTCTCTCTCTCTTTCTCTCTCTCTCTCTCCGTGCCTCTCTTCCTCTCCCCTGCACTTCTATCGCCCTTGATGCCGTCATATACGCGTACTTCGTTCCTGTCCCCCCTCTTCCTGTCTCCATCGCGAACCCCTTCCCTCCTATCCTCGATCATTTTTCTATCTCATCTCTTTCTGTCTTTCATTTTGCATCTCTCTTTTGATCTCACTCAACCGGATCGACCTGTTCACGTGTGCTGCCGCAATAACTATATCCAGCCCGGGTCTTTTTTTTGTCAAGCCGTTCTTATATAGCCTAAAAATGGATTGTAAAACCGTGCCCCGCCGTCCCTAATTGTTCGTGCGTGTCTGAATGCTTAGCTCGGACATCGAGTCAAGTATGTAGCGAGCATTTTTCTGCCTGGTCCTTTGTACCGCCACGTGCGCGACTCTACGCAAATCCTATTTTTTGCGCCAGTCGTCTTGAGTAATCGCGCATTAGTATTGTATATATCGACAAACGATATAACCAGCGCGAAACGATCGAATGAGGCGATCAATCGCCTGCAACACTCAATCTTAAGCAATCGGACTTACGGGCAAAATATAAATTATTTAGATACATAGGTTCTAAAGATATATATTAAAGTGAGATGTTAACATTCTCCGGTATGATAAATCTTTTTAATGGTTAATTGTCCTAATAATTGCCCTAATACTTCAATAAGTAAATGTCTATTAATTTTTGCTTAATAAAATAAATAAAAGAATACATAAGCAGTAGAATGTGGCGGATCCTAGAATCCATTTGATGATTACATCAGGAAGTGCGAAGTGCTTTTAACGTTAAAAAGTTTACGATTACGTTTGCATGATTTCAATTGAAATGCGCTTGATAACTGCAAGCGCAACAGCTCGATATAATAGGTACGCATCGCTATGAACATACTAGAAGATGTATCGCCGAGGAAAGCATCGCCGATAAGTCGCATCGGTTTATAGTCGGGCAACGGCGATAGATTTCATAGCGATGTTAAAGGTCTTTATGGGTTCCATTAAGTCACATTGTACACGGGCGAATAACCGCATTCTGAATGAATAAGCACAATAAGCAGGTGTCGTTGTACTCACCGGCTACGAATCTCCTTCCAGCTGATCGGGTTTACGGCCGTATCGACCCCGTCCACCGTCGTACAATTACGGCGAACATCAGGAAGCGCACCATCCTGCGAACAAGACAAGAAAGAATCTTGGTCAGCTTGACGAATAATGCGAAACGTCATTCCGCGCCGTTTAACCTTTGACAAAGACTCGCGCGTAATACACTCGGAATTCTGTCTCTCTAACACATTCACACACTTATGCATTTCCACTTCTATTACTCGCGTGAGTCGTGACAACTGATTCTCAAATCCTGTTAAACTCTTGACCCGACCACGCGAAACACTTATTAGCGCTAAAATATGGCAGTATAATCGAATATCAAATTTTGCATTTTGATCGTCGATTAGTTCTTCGCATCAACTTAATTTATTTATATTTTATTTAGTTCGCGGTCTTCAAGAACCAAGCACGTGTAAGATTTGTGTTTAATTCTCAATCTCAAATTTGAGATTTGTGTTTAATCATCAATCTCAAGTTAATAAATTCAGATTAAGCAAAAACAAATCGAAACTGTTCCAAACAAAGAAAACAAATTAAAGTTTACACGTTGACAGGATAAGAAATAATACACCTAATTTACATATATCTTGAATTAATAACTAATTAATTAATATTACTTGAATCCATAAAAAACACATAAAACACACACAACACAAGATAAAATTACCGCCTTGGTTTGTCCTTGCAAAAGAGACCTAAGCAAACTTTCACAACCGAGAACAAAAGAAGGCTAAGAAAGAGAATTTCAACGATTATCGGTTTCCCTTGATCCCTTCTTCGAACTAAGCTTCTTGACCACAGGATATATAAGAGGTGATGATCAAAACACCACGGTATCTATTTTAAATAAAATTACGACAATTTGTCTCACAATAATATTGTTAAACAATCGCGTGGCTTCAAGATATTTCGAAATTATTCAAAAAAACCCCCCAAAAAAAACCCCAAAAAAAAACTTCAACATATCGTGCTTTTATCCGGTTAATGAAAAAGGAAAACATACCATTAAATAGCTAATTTTCGTCGTATCGAGATCGAAAGATCAGCAATTTGTGGTCGGTTAGCGACAGATACGAAGAATCCTGGGAGAAAACAAAGGACGATGATTCAGAGGTAAAAGGAGAGAAGAACCTGGTAGATGACACGAGATTCCTACGAAGGTAGGTACTACGTCACTGTCTTTTTCTTCTCCGCCTCGCTGTTATCTCTCTCCCTTCTGCGCACCTTCTACGGTTTTAACGTTTTCGACTCGAAACGCCGGCATTCCTGCCGCCGCGTGGAATCCGACGATGTTAAATGAATCGTTTTGAGAAAATATAATGTCCACTAAACATTCTTCTCTTTGCCGTAATTTATAACCGCGTAAAGACCGTTTAAGTATTTGACAAATGTCTGACGTCTTTTCATTAGATATACAGTACAAGGAATTGTTTGTAGTCAGGCATCGCAGATAGGTAGAATAATGCGTTTTATAAATAGTAACTGAAATAGTCAAGTCACACTCCAATTCATTACACTGTATATCTAACGAAATGACGTAATAAAGTCTTTTGTCAAAGACTCGAGCAGTCTTTGCACAGTTACAATATTGCAAAATACTCAACCTATTAATTACAATAACAGATGTTTTAATTATAATTACAGATGTTAAATTTAAAATAATTTAATAATATTAATATTATATTAATTTAATCAGGAAACCAGATGCCAGACTTCTCGCGGCAAATTAAAAAAAAGTTTCAATTTAAAGCGCGATTAAAAATGTTCATGACATTTCATTATTTAATTCAATGAACAGAAGCTATCGGCTCCTAAAGCATTCCTTCCTCGAAAACTGGTAGGATTGTATCGTTTTTCATTCCGGAAGAGCGCAGGTAGCTCCCCGCTCTATTAATAGACTGACTGATCAATTCGCAGGCGCGTCGGCGGGGTTTACCTGTGGCACGTGGGCGTTCCCGGGTAGCAAGCAGCCGTAAAGTCGTTAAGTAGCCACTTCGGACTTTAGAATCAGGAGGTGATGGATCATTAGCCCCGAGGATCTTTCCGTAACCTACGGTCTCTGTCGAACCAATACTAGTTACATGCTTCGACAGGATACCACCGTGAAGCGTGTAATATCTTAGCTGAGTTTCAACCGTCCGTGAAGTAAAAACGATGCCGCGATCGTGACGTTGCTAAATCGTAACACGAATTAATTTCCTTCGAAAATCAAGCAAACTGCAACGTATTGTGTCCGATGTGGGATTACATAATCGCTCATGATGCACGACGCAACTTTTACAAGTTATAAATTTTTTTTTCCTATCTTTTGTATATTATAATGTGGAAGAAACGTATCGCAAAAATATGCATTCGACACTATGCGATAAAATTAGGTAGAGGAATATGCAACAAAGATTAGAATATACAGGGTGTCTGAGACCACCTGTCCACCCCTTTTAAAATGAGAGGAAATGGTTTCTATAAAATATCCAAAAAATTATGATGGATAAATCAGATACGTTCTATCGAATAGTAATATTTTCAACTTTCACTTCCGATCGGAAATAAGCTATTCTGACCGAAAGTTAAATTTTTAAATATAGCATGGTACTTTTTATCACAGATTCGGATTAAACGCAAAAAGATAAGAAACTTTTGTTTCAAACATTTTTTCTGAAAATGCCTCCATTCTCAATAACCTTGAAAGTCTGATAAAAGAAATGTCTTCTAAAATTCTAAATTGCACTTTACGAGTAATTATTCATTTTAAAAGGGGTGTGCGGGTGGTCTTAAACACCCTGTACATAAAGAAATACAGAATGACTAGTGCGAATGATAAGACGATAAGGATACACATGAATAGAAGTGGCTATGCCGCACTAATACGGCGGTTGATAAATTTGCGAGCGATGTGAAGGCGATGTGGCCGCGGGCGTTCTACGGTTTCTAGGCGGTAAGGAGCCATAAAGACGCTAAATAGCCACTTTCGACCCGGTAGGAAAGTGGTACCGGGGAAGGGGAAGAAGATTGGAGTCAACGGCATGCGGAACGCTCCGAGAGAGTACATAAAATCAGTTTGGATTACGCATAAATGGACGGACAGAGAAGCATGGCGCGGAAGTTCGCGACGGTAGCGTCTAGCAATAATGAGAGTTCGATGTGCCAAGAGGACGTCGTGCCGCCGGCGTATAAACGCCGCGCGTGTTCCAGTTTATTTCTCGCTGTGCCAGCAAGACGCGCAACAAATCATCGGCGGTGGTGCACCGCAGTGGATCGTCTCTTCTTTATGAGCGCAGCCGTTATGAAGTCTCAAACGCGCGTCTTATGATCGAAAGTACCGATTTCGCTTTCGTTTCACGACCACACAGTGGCGATCAGAGCTGTTCGGTCGGGCAATGCAGATTATTTCACGCGATTCTAGTACTGGTGATAATATTAATATCATTGGAGAAAGCAAAATCAATTTCGTGACGGCGGAAAAAATGAAATGTATATTTGATTATAGAGTATAACATAAAAAAAGCGATTTATGTTGTTTGTTAATATTGTGAGCGGCCGCGCAAACAGGGAAGGGGGGTTTCCAGCTGAAACGTCTGTCGCAACAAACCGAAGAGTAATTAAAACCGGTAATTGAGATAAGCAGAGAACTTAATACCGGATTAGATAGTGCGTAGTAAAGTGAGATGTAGAAATCGCTTGGCGTCACAGATCTGTTGCAAAGATAGGTAGAATAATGCATTTTATAAATAGCGACTCATTAGAAAGCGAGAGGGCCCCAAGTACAAACAGACAATCAACATACGCGGATAAACGCCGTGCGATCGATCAATATCACATGATACAAAAGCAGAATTTTACTGCGCATGTTACGTACGAAAGCGGTAAGCAAGTTACGTTGAAGCGAACAACTCACCAACAAAGTAAAGTATCGCAGTAACATGCTAATAAGGCGTGGGCACTGTCTGGAAATAAGAAGGCATAAAATATAATGGCAGGTAACTACTTTTGGACACAGGTTACGGGAGACAGGTACAACCGATGCAAAATTGCAATGATTCTTGCCCACGCGTGATAGATATTATTATATATCGCCTCTACGTTCTGAAATGTATTAAAAATTGACTAGTGACTACACTACTATAACTGGTTTACTGCAATCGAAAAATTTGTTACACGCGCGAACACATATGGCGAACATAAGAATAGAATATGTGTCATTGCAATGCAATATTTCCTTTCAGGATACAAGAAAAATCGAATCGCGACGAACATCAGAAGTACAGATATCTCGGAAAGCTGTATAAATTAAAAGATATAATTCAGGGATAGATTTCGAACGATTAGCATCATGATGCTCCGCAATCCACTCTTAAGCTCGATAACGAGATCAACTTTGAAGCTCGATACCGTTCACGGCAAATTGCCGGCGTTTCCGAGCAACGAGCGGCGCAGCCGAAGATTCAGAAGCGATCGGGAAACTACTCGCGGGAATCAGAGGCGCGGACGAGCCGCAAATATATGCGATCGGTCAGGTAGGAGTTCGGTGGACGAGCGGTTTGCCGGTTGGAAGGCGAGTCCGAGCCGCTGGAAGGATGCTGGAGAGACCGAGTGGTGGCGGCACGGCCGGTGTGGTCAGGTGGCTCGCAAGGACGCGGCAGGCCGTTCACCCGTTCACCCGTTCGCTCCCACCCGCCCCCTCGCCAACGGCTGCCCCCCCTCGCCCACGGTCGGTACACGTACGCGCCAGATATTCACGTACACATCGACACGCACTCGTCGCGGATCTCTCTTCCTCTCCTCCGAGTTGTCGCCCCTCGTCCGTTCTCTCCCCTTCCGTCTCGGTGTGCCCCACCCCTCCCCGCGGTCTCCGGCGGCGTCGCCGCTCTAGATCCGAACGCGAACGCAGCCTTAACTAAGTTACCGGTATTTGTACTCCGAGGAATCGCCGGTTACTGTACTCCCCGTGTAAACACGATAATTGACCCGTTACACTTTGCACCTTGCGCGAACGAGAATTTATTTCCTTAAGGTGATACAGTATTTCCCCCCGCGAGAGAACCGCTTCTCGATCTTTTACTTT